TTTAATGTTCAATATTCATTTCCACATGATTTTCTCCCTACCTCTTCCCTCCCTCCACCCCAATGGCATGCATTCTGAATACCCCTTCCCCTAATCTGTTTTCCTTTTTATCACCCCCCTCTTCTCTTATCCCCTTCTCCTTCTATTTTCCTGTAGGGCAGGATATAGTTCTATATCCCTTTGCCTGTGTATCTTATTTCCCAGGTGCATGTAAAAACAATTTTTAACATTTGTTTTTAAAACTTTTAGTTCCAAATTCTCTCCCTTCCTCCCTCCCCACCCACCCTCATTGAGAAGGCAAGCAATTTGATATAGGTTATATGTGTATAGTCATGCAAAATACTTCCATAATAGTCATGTTGTGAAAGACTAACTATATTTCCCTTCATCCTATCCTGCCTCCCATTCTTTCCTATTCTCTCCTTTGACCCTGTCCCTCCTCAAAAGTGTTTGCTTCTGATTACCTCCTCCCCCAATCTGCCCTCTCTTCTATCATCCCTCCCCTCTCTTATCTCCTTCCCCCCTATTTTCCTGTAGAGTAAGACAGATTTCCATACCCAATTGAGTATGTATGTTATTCCCTCCTTGAGCCAAATCCAATGAGATTAAGATTCATTCATTCCCTCTCAACTCCCCCCTCTTCCCCTCCACTATAAAAGCTTTTTCTTGTATTTTTTATGTGAGATAATTTAACCATTCTACCTGTCCCTTTCTCCTTCTCTCAGTATAATCCTCTCTCATCCCTTACTTTTATTTTTTAGATATCATCCCTTCATATTCATCTCACCCTGTGCCCTCTGTCTATATATAATATTTCCTCCAACTACCCTAATACTGAGAAAGGTCTCATGAGTTACAAATATCATCTTTCAATGTAGGAATGTAAACAGTTCAACTTTAATAAGTCATGCTTCTCTTGAGTCTTGTATTTGAAAGTCAAATTTTCTATTCAGCTCTGGTCTTTTCATCAAGAATGCTTGTAAGTTCTCTATTTCATTGAATGTCCATTCTCCCCCCCCAAAGGATTATACTCAGTTTTGCTGGGTAGGTGATTCTTGTTTTAATCCTAGCTCCTTTGACCTCTGGAATATCATATTCCAAGCCCTCCAGTTCCTTAATGTAGAAGCTGCTAAATTTTGTGTTATCCTGATTGTCTTTCTACAGTACTTGAATTGTTTCTTTATGGCTGCTTGCAATATTTTCTCCTTGATCTGGGAACTTTTGAATTTGGCTATAATATTCCTAGAAGTTTTCTTCTTGGGATCTCTTTCAGGAGGTGATTGGTGGGTTCTTTCAATTTCTATTTTACCCTCTGGTTCTAGAATATCAAGGCAGTTTTCCTTGATAATTTCTTGAAAGATGTTGTATAGGCTCTATTTTTGATCATAGTTTTCAGATAGTCCAATAATTTTTAAATGATCTCTCCTGGATCTATTTTCCAGGTCAGTTGTTTTTCCAATGAGATATTTCACATTGTCTTCTATTTTTTTCATTCTTTTGGTTTTGTTTTTACAATGTCTTGATTTCTTATAGAGTCATTAGCTTCCATTTGCTCCGTTATCATTTTTAAGGAATTATTTTCTTCAGTGAGCTTTTGGACCTTCATTTCCATTTGACCAATTCTGCTTTTTAAGACATTCTTCTCCTCACTGGCTTTTTGGACCTCTTTTGTCATTTGGGTTAGTCTATTTTTTAAGGTGTTATTTTCTTCAGTCATTTTTGGGGTCTCCTTTAGCAAGCTGTTGATTTGTTTTTCATGATTTTCTTGCATACTCTCATTTCTCTTCCCAGTTTTCCTCTTCTTCTCTTACTTGCTTTTCAAAATCTTTTTTGAGCTCTTCCATGGCCTGAGACCAATTCGTATTTTTTTCTTGGAGGCTTTGGATGTAGGAGCTTTGACTTTGTTGTCTTCCTTTGGTTGTACATTTTCATCTTCTTTGTCACCAAAGTAAGATTCTGTAGTCTGAGTTTTTTCCTGCTGTTTGCTCATGTTCCCAGCCAATTACTTTTACTTTTTAACTCTTTGTTAAGGTAGGAGTGTGCTTCCAATGTGGAGGGTGTACTGTCCCAAGCTTCAGAGGTTTTGTGCAGCTGTTTTCAGAGATACTTCTAGGGACCTGTAAATTTTCAGTTCTTCCAAAGTGGTATGATCAAAGGTGAGGTGTTTACTCCTTTCCTGACCTGTGCTTTGGTCCATGAGTGACTATAAGCATTCTTTTCTGCCTTGGAAATGTGAGGAGGATTCCTTCTCCACCACAGGCCATGCTAGCACTCCTCCTTGTCCCAGGAACCACCCCCCCCCAGGACTGTGGCCCCCAGGGCAAAGTAAGAGAATCCTGCCTCAGCACCAGCGAAGAGAATCCTGCAATCTTCCTCTGATCAGCTGCTTGATCTCCCCACCATCTGTGGAATGAGAACTCTGGAAGCAACCACTGTCACTGTGGCCACCATCCTGGGGCTGCACTAGGGCCAGGACTGGACTGTGCTCCTCTCTCACCCAGGTCCAACAGACTTTTCTCACTGGCTTTCTAAGTTATCTTTGGCATTTGTGGGTTGAGAAGTCTAGAAACCACCACAGCTGCCTGTGATTCAGTCTCCTGAGGCCTCCTCCAGGTTCTCTGAGGCCTGGTCTTTGCCTGTGTGGCCCACGCTGAACTGTGCTCCTTTCCCAGCCTGGTGCAACAGATCTTTCCTATCAACCATCTAGGTTGTCTTGGGCTGGCCATTTGTTTCACTCTGTCTTTTTGTGGGTTCTGTTGCTCTAGAATTTGTTTAGAGTCATTTTTACAGGTATTTGGAGGGGTTTGGAGGAGAGCTCAAGCAAGTCACTGCTTTTACTATGCCATCTTGGCTCTGCCTCCAAGGATACATATTTAGAGATGAAACTAGAAAGATGAAAAATTAAAATATGCAAATATGTCTATAATAAATGGTTTTCACCACCAATGGTGGTACAGCCATGTCATTTGGATGTGCCACATGAGGAAGTAGAAATGACACTAGCCCTAATAAAATGGGAGAAGCAACAGAGTCCAACCAAAGGCCCACACACAGAGTATTGATGCTGGTGTGTTGTTCAGTTGTGTCAAAAACTGTGAAGACATGGCATGATTCCTTCTCAAGCTATATGAAAGAAGGGCATCAAATGTTTGGAAAGAAACATCTTCAACCTTATTACTTTCCAATGGCAAGTCCAAACCACAACCATTGACTGAAATACTTTCACAAAATTTTAATGAGATGAATCTACAAATTTATGAAGGGCAGCCTTGATGAGTATGTGGGAAGGGAATAAATAGGCAGGTTTTTCACAATATTCTACAACAAACCATATCTTTACAGTCACACAATTGACAGATGCAAATGCAGACAAGGCCCCAAAGTATACTTATTATTTGTGGATTATCAAAATCATTTGCCTTCAAAGTCTCCTTCAGTGGGCTACCTCATATGCATGTATCAAAGTCTTGTGAGAGTCCTTGAGAAGGATGTAACAATGGAGATAACGTTACCCAAAGACCTTTGGATTATGAATATCAAGGGAGGGATACAACAGGGAGAAATATTCTTGTTGATAGTTGGATTGTATTTGGGAAATTATTCTTAACTTTTAATGACTTCAACCTCTCTCTGAACTAAATGGGCTCCCTGAGCCCCTCACCTAAGTTCTTCTGAACCAAAGGTCCATGTACTTAACTGAGAAGGACCAGATACACTAAGACCAGTTAGGTCAGGCTGCCCTGGATTGAGGAATAGAAGTAGAAGATTAATTAACCTGCTAGGGAGCCCAACTAACAAGGCCCAGGGGGAGGTTGAGATTCTAAAAATTTCTGACTAGTTCCCCTGTAATGAGACCGAGGGGAGGTGGCCTCAACGGTTTTGTTCTTTCCTTAGCTTATGGTGCTCCCAGGAGCACTATAGGAGAGGGAGTCCTAACCAGACATGTGCTGTGGCAAGGGACCTTGTTAGCCAGGCTGGGCTAGAGTTGGGTTTCATTTCCCATTCCCTCTCTAAGGAGGTCCAATTTCTTCCTAAAATGCTAAACTGACCTTTTGTTTTCATGGCCATCCTTCATGTCCCAGGACCCTTCATTCTCTTCCATCCAGCCTACTATCAGAGAAGGATGTGAGATCACTTCTTCATCTTCTCCCTTGTCTGTTAATTCATTCAGCCAGCAGACTGGCAGTGACTTTAGGGCAATAAGTCTAGACCCCAAAATTTTAAAGAGGAGGTGGATGAGGCTGAGGGAGGGATATGGACTGGCTCAAGGTCACAAAGTTGTCATTGTTTAGTTGTGTTTGTGACCCTATGTAGGGTTTTCTTCACAAAGATACTGGAGTGATTTGCCATTTCCTTCTCCAGCTCATTTTACATATGGGGAAACTGAGGCAAACAGGGTGGAGTAACTTGCCCAGGGTCACATAACTAATAAGTATCTGAGGCCAGATTTTAACTCTGTGACTCCAGATCAGTGCTCTATCTCTTGCGCCACTTAGCTGTCAAGGTTGAAAAGTCCTGACTTCTATATTCAGGGCACTGTGCTGGACACACAGAAGACAGAAGAGAAGTCAGACTTGTCTAGTAGGGCAGATAAGACAGGTACACAAATAGTTTGTGGAGGATGATAAATGCCTTATGAAAGGTCAGGACGGTGCTGTGAGGGTTCAGAGGGGGAAGATTCCAAGGAACCATAGGAGTCAGAGTTGCACCCTCTAAGTCTTAGTCACCCTCTAAGCCTAACCACCCCCTCCAATTTACAGAACAGACTGAGGGTCCCAGAGAGAAAGGAACTAGTCTAAAGTTAGTAGTAGATTGGAGAGCTCAGGGATGACCCTCTATGAAGCTGAGACCAATAGTTTACCCTCCAGAATGCTTTGGCAGACCAGCACCTCCTCTTAGCCGTCTTGTTGACCTGCTCAGTCTGGTTCGCCATGGGTCCCGTCCTTCAATGAGGAGGGTCGAGAACTGGACATCATTTGTGCTGCCTTCCCCCTGCCTCATCAGTCCCCTTGGCTCCCCAGCCTGCGTCCCACAACCCGTTTGATTGCAGCCTTGACTTCTTTGTTTCGGAGTGTGTAAATGAGTGGATTGAGTAGCGGTGTGACAGCTGTGTAGAGCACGGCCACAACACGGTCCTGGGACAGGGTGTGTCGCGAGCGGGGGCGCAGGTACATGAAGCCAGCGCAGCCATAGTGGATGACTACCACGGTCAGGTGCGCAGCGCAGGTGGAGAAGGCCTTTTGGCGGCCCTCGGACGAGTTGATGCGCAGCACAGCAGAAACAATGAGCACATAGGAGAGGAAGGTGAGGGTGAAGCAGCCCAGGACTAGGAAACCAGTAACGGCGAAGAGGAGGAGTTCATTGATGCGAACGTCTGAGCAGGCCAGCTTCAGCAAGGGCGCGATGTCGCAGAAGAAGTGCTGCACGCGCCGGCCCCGGCAGAAGATCACGCGAGTCATCATGACCACGTGCAGCAGCGAGTGGAAGAAGCCGATGGACCAGATGAGGCCGGTGAGCGCCAGGCAGAGGGGCCGCGTCATCAGCAGCGGGTACCGCAGGGGGCTGAAGATGGCTAGGTAGCGATCGAAGCCCATGAGTGTGAGCAGCATCGCCTCGGTGCTTCCTAGGAAGTGGAAGAAAAACATCTGGGCGAGGCAGCCCTGGCGTGAGATGGCCTGTGCCACGGCCAGGAAGTTGGTGAACATCTTGGGCACGGTAGTGGAGGAATAGAAGATGTCAATGAAAGAGAGGATACTGATGAAGAAGTACATAGGGGTGTGCAGCGGCTGCTCGGTCCAGATCACCAGCATGATGGTCACATTGCCCACCACATTGGCCGAGTAGATGAGGACAAAGATGACAAAGAGAAAATTCTGTAGGTCCGCTGAGTCTGAGAGTCCCAGCAGCAGAAACTCAGTCACCAGCGTCTCGTTGCCCTTCATCTCTCTAAGCCCGAGCCAGGGCACGTGATTCTGAGAGGATAGAAAGGTCAGGAGCCTGGGGGCCTAGCGAGGGATAACTCCGCTCCAACTCTGCCCTCTGTCTCCTTTTCAGTAAAAGGCAGGTTGGCCTCCATGATTCCCCCAGCTCTCTCCCAGCTCTCTACTCACTCTTCACTTATTTCTTCGAGTCACTTTCTTCCCCTAATGGACATAATCTCCTAACCTTCCCCTTATAGCCTCCTACTGAGAAATTTACCTTTTCCTGGAAGCCTTCCCTGATTTGCCCCGTGTAGCACTGATTGATTACTCCCTTCCTTGGAGAGTTTCCCCACACTCTTTGCAAATGAAACTATGGCCTGGGGACAAATCTAGTTCTGCTGCTGTGACTTCAGACTGCTCCATGAACATCTCCCCTCTCATCTCTAAGAGGCATTTGGAGAAGATGATTTCTATCCCTTTCATCTCTGAATCCTATTAACCGTTATTAAGAGGGCACAAACTCAGTCTGATAACTTAGTATTGATTTATCTCAGTTGGAGGTCCATGACTCATTGCCTAAAATGTGTTGTTCTGTTAGGCCCCTACTAGCCCAGATTCCCAAAGAGCCTGAAAGCCTGGAGCATCTCAGAGTGAACCCAGTAAGATGAGATTTCATAGCTACAAATGCAAAATCTCAGATTGGAGTTACTGAAGCCATTTTCAAGCCCAAGGCAGGGGAGGTTTGGCTAGAGAGAAGTTTGCCTGAGATAGATCTGGGAGATTCAGGGAATGGCAAATTTGGGATGAGGCAGTCAACAGGGAGGGGGATCTTGGGCTTCCTTGATAGAGATTGAGTTTTTAGGCAAAGGGAGGTGGGGGGAGAAAGGGTCCCTTAGCATCCTTGGCCCTGGTCAAATCGTATCCGACATATTTTGTTCATTTCTGGGGGCCACAGTGTTAGAAGGACTTTAAATCCATTTTAGATGAGAGACAATGAAAGGAACTGGGACATTTAGCCTGCAGAAAAGGAGGCTCAAGAGGGACATGAGGGCTGCATTCAAGTCCTTGAAAGGTATCTTGTGGAAGAGGGATTAGCCTCCTTCTGGTTGGGCTCTGAGAATAGAACTAGGGATATTAGCTGCAAAGAAGCCAGTGCCTACCCATGAGAGTCTTCCCAAAGCAGAATGACCCTCCTCTGAAGGTTGGCAGGGGATGGGAAGGGTCTTCCCAAAAACCTAAATGGCTTCTTCAGGGTGGAATGGTGTGAATGGAATTCTTTTGCAGGTACAGAATAGACCAGCTGCTTCCATGGACAGAACAGGAGCACCAGAAGGGCCTCAGAGGTCTCCAGTCCACTCCAGACCTGAATGAGAATCTCATTTCCCACCTCCCTTACAAGTGGCCATCCTGCCTTGGTGTAGAGACCTCCAGCAAGGGGGAAGCTACTTCTTTACAAGGTAGTCCATTCTGCCCGGGGAAGACTTGAAGGATCAGGAATGTGGCTCTTGGCAACTTCTACTTGTTGCTTGTGTATTCACTTCTCTGGGACCAGGCAGAAAGATTCTACTCCCTCCTCCAGGGGATAGCCCTTGATGTCCAAGATAGCTTCCAGTCCTCCCTTGGATCTTCTCTTCCTTAGTCCAAATACCCCTATATAAACTTGTGGCATAAACTTGAATGCCTCCACTTTTTCGATTGACTTCCTCTGGATCCTCTCTGGCTTCTTTCTGTCCTGTTCAAAATGTAGTGCTCAGAAGCAACCAGGATTCTCTAGATGTATCTGAACAGGGAAGGAAAGATTGGAAATACCCCTTTCCTAACCCTGGACACTGTACCTTCCTTCCTGCAGGCCGACATGGCATTGAGAAGCATTATAATATATCGCATGGTAGGATGCTCTCCAAGACAGGCAGCCCTGGCTCAAGTCCAGTCCTTTGCACATACTGGGCATCACCCTCTGGTCAAGTATCTTAACCTTTCCATGCCCTAGACAGCACTCTAAGTCCAGAAGATGCGGAACAGCTGGTGGTCTGTGTTGGTCGAGTGAGTTTCCTAACCAAAAGTCTCTCCCTTTACCAAGGAAATTAAAAAATAAATTAGCTCTCTTGGGTGCCGTCATACTGTTGACTTGTACTGACAGTGTTGACTTGCAGTTTCCTAAGACCCCCAGACCTTTTTCAGTTGAATTGCTAACCATGTCTAAACTGTCTTGTATTTGTGAAATGGATTTTTTGGACCCAAGGAAAAGTTTTTACCTTTAGCCTTATGAAACTTCACCTTGCTCCATTAGATCCAGTCTTGATATAAGGAAATGTTTCCTAAGAGTTGGAACTGACCAACAGTGCAATTGGCTGTCTTGGGAGGTAGAGGGCTCTTTCTTACTTCTTTTTGTTCAGTATTTTCAGTCATGTCTGACTCTTCATGACCCCATTTGGGGTTTTCTTGGCCAAGATGTTGAAGCAGTTTGCCATTTCCTTCTCCAGCTCATTTTACAGATGAGGAAATTGAGGCAAACAAGGTGAAGTGATGTGGCCAGGGTCACACAGCTACTAAGTGTCTGAGGCCAGATTTGAACTCTGGTAGGATAAGTCTTCCTGACTCCAGGCCTTCCCTACTAGAAGTCATCAAATACAGGCTAGAGGACCCCTTTACACAGATATCCTTTGTCACTTCTAGAAAGAATACCTATTCTTCATCCTGGTATTTGTAGTCCTCCAAAATCTGCCTCTGGATTACTTTGCCAAGTTTCATGCCCATCACTTTTCCCCATACATTCCATGCTCTCCTTGCCAATCCTCAGTCTCTTGTCCCATTATCTCCTACCTACAGACCTTTGCACAGGCTCTTTCCACATGCCTGGCATTCATCCCTTCACCAGCTTGGAGGCTCCAGATACACACTACCTCTTTTGGGAAACCTTTCCTGATCTCTCTACTGTCAATATTCCCATCTTCCTCAAATGTTCTTGTTTGAAATGGCGTATGTGTGTGTGTGTTGTGTGATTGTGTGTTTGTGTGTTCATGATGTGTGTTGTGTATGTTCTGTGTGGTGTGTGTATGTATGTGGTGTGTTATATGTGTGTGTTGTGTGTATATGTGTGTAAGTGTATGTGTATGTGTGTTGTGCATGTGTGTGTATATGTGTGTGGTGTGTGTGTGTGTGTGTGTATGTGTGTGTGGTGTGTGTGTGTTGTTCCTCCAGGAGAATGGAAGCCCCTTGAGGGCAAGGCAGCTTAACTTTTGTCTCTGTGTCCCTAGCACTTAGCACTGTGCCTGGCACACAGTAGGCAGTTGATGAGTTCTTGTTGAATTGGATTGGAATGAGATTATTTTTCAAGTGTGAGTCAGGCCTGGTGCCCTTTAAGGCTGAGATTCTGGGGAACCTGAAATCAGCAGATCCATTCCATTTACAAATGGGATGGGGGAGGGGTTCAGTAAACTTGAGTTTGGTTTTAGGCTCTGACATGACTTGAGCACCTTTGCACAAGTCATATGGCATATCTGGGACTTAGTTTCCTCATCTGTAAAGTGGGGGAGCAGGGCTTAATGGTCCAAAAGGCCCTCTCAGCCAGAAGCCTGTGACCCATCTTGGTGTCTCCCCAGGCTAATCCCAGACCCCCACATGTTGTGGTCCCTTAGGAAACATTTGTGAAATCAGAAATGATAACAGCTTCAATTGCAAAGTGCCTTCTTCCCAACAGTGCTGTGAACCAGTTAGTATAAGTAGTGCTAAAGCATTTTATAGGTGAGAAAACAGAGGCACAGAGGAGGTAAGGGATTTGCCCAGGGTTATTTTAGAAGTAAGAGTTGGAGCTAGCTTCAAATTCAGTCCTTCTGACCCCAGGGCTAGGGCTGGATAGGAAGATAGCAAAGGCCTTTCCTTGGGGACTCAAACGCGGGGGCAACTGGCCGGCTTACCAGACATATTGCTGTCACCAAACTGGAAGGAGCTATGACTGGATCTGTATTCACAGAGATTTCAACAGACTAGAACTATGGGTCAAATTGATTAAGATGGAATTGAATAGGGATAAATGTAAAGTCAAAAAAGTAAGTATAGGATGGGGGAGAACTAACTGGCCAGCACTCTATGTGGGAAAGACTTGACATTTTAGGGAGTGATTTTAGAAACAATGGTCACTGACATTTAAGTTATTTCAAGGGTCATAGAAAAAAAAATGCTACAAAATGTTAGAGTGCACTAATGGAGTACCCAAGGCAAAAGCCTTAGGATAACAGAGTAGAAAAGGCTTCGTCTCCAGAGTCAGAAGGCCTGGGTGAACAGCCAGAATGGCTCTTTGGGTGAGGCAGCCTCTCTTGGACTCAGTTTCTTCATTTGTAAAAGGAGAGGATAGGCAGATGATCTATCTGTACCCTGCTCACATCACATCTGGGGGCAGGTCCTCAGTTCTTAGGAAAGGACACCAACAAATCAGGGCACACATTAAAGACAGTGGCCACATGGGCAAAGGGACAGGAAGTCAAGCCATGGTAGGACTGATTGGAGGGAATGGGGAGGGTTTTGCCTGGACACAAGATGGGGAGGGGGTCATGATGTCTAACTTCAGATATACGAAGGGTCTTCTCCTCAGTCTTAGGGGGCAGAATGAAGACCAGTGACTGACAGAAGGGAGACATTTCTCACCACTGAAGCTGTCTAAGCTGAGGCACTGAGCTCCCCACCACTTGAATACAGGTGGAAGTGTAGGTCATGCAGGCATGAAAGGCAGAACAAAAGTCCCGGTCTGGTCCAGTTCATGCTTTTCCAGTCCAGGGAAGAATGACCCAGAGTAGGCATGGAAAATAGGTGGGTGGTGGGATGTGATGGAGCCTCCCCACAAGCCCAGCATAGAGCATTGGTACCTAAGAGGGTCTGGGCTGGGAGGCAGGGAGAATCCTGAGCTTTAACCATGGCTCACCCCCATGTGCACCATGGCAGGCCCTGGCTTGGCTTCTGGAGAGGGAGATCCTGGCTACATCTCTACATAGAATGAGTCTCTGGATGCAGAAAGATGAATGTCC